TGGACTGTTGACAGCATGGTGTTGTCTTACTGTTCTAGATATTTTGTTTTAGCTCCACTCAAGGTTGCGCTGTGAAGTGACTGCTTGTTCTCTGCCTGTCTACTTGAAACGTTTATTGCTTGTTTTGATTCTTTTAGGCAGAATTTTGGTCCCATTTCCTTGGGAATATTATCACTTTGTTGTATGTGGTGTTCATCACTTACTGATCTTTTTTTATCATATAGGTTGATATTTTAATTCAAAGAAATTGTAGTTAACTGTATAGTTCCAAAGCGGCACTGTTGAAGTACCTTTTTGTTTTATATTATATAATGATTAAATAGCGCCATAGATTTCACGTGAACATAACGTAGATATAACCATATTAACTTGTTCTGTTATCATTGGGATATATTTTCGCTACGTGTAACTCACGGAAGCTAAGTGCACTATACAGAAAGGACAAAGTCGTATACTCTTGGTCAATTCGTAACCTGATCTGAACTCGACACTGCTTTCTGACTAGGGTAATCGTATTTTGGTGGTAGCAAAGACCACGTCAGACACTTTGGTTAACAGAAGAGACATGTGAATAACTTGATAACTGAATATAAATTTACTTAGAATTTTTCAATCTATTTCTATTACCCTTATGTACTACTAATACTCAGTATAAATCATAATACAGATAATTACCGGTAAGACTGAAAGGCTGTTTAAATGGAACAAAATTTGAATATTATGAAGTGCAGATATCCACATAAGTCAATTACTCTTACCTTATAACTTTCACACACGTGCTTAAGGTAAAGTGCCTCAGACATTACTCAATATTTGTAATTTCCTGTTGCTATACAGGATGAAGTTGTCCGACCTCTTTTGGCAGATGGACTCCTGAGAGGAATTCTCGATACTGCTGGATATTGATGATGTTGTATTCATCTTGATGGCTAGCATTGGAATCCAGGACACGGGTTTCTCCCAACTCGGAACTCTTCAGGTGAGTGAAGCTGTACCACAGTGAGTGATGTTGTTTCCAATGAGACTCAGACTCACTACCAAACACCTACTAGGCTACTGAGGCTCGAAAGCCACAGTAAATTACGAGTGTCAACAAGTGATAATAAATAATATTGGTCGCACAAGAGCTGGCTGTCATGCCTCACCAGCCTAGTGGGTAATGCATTAGCGTTTAAAGCAATAGGTATTGGATTCGAGTCTCCGTGGGAAAACATTATTCACTAGGGTGTGGCTGGCGAGTCACAAACAGAATGAAATAGGCGTTCTAGATTCTACCGGTAGTCAGCAAGGTAAATTCTTTAGGCATATTCACAAACGAAGTTAATGATGAAACTGAGAGTCTTAATATTAATACCATAAGGAGAGATAAAATACTCAGAAGCTGATGAACCTACTGTAAATTTGGAGTCGTCTAATTCAAACAATTTTCTAACTGAAGCACATAATAGTCTTGCAAACTTTCAAAATGAATGAATGTACCTGGATCTCAATGAGTAATGGTGTTCACAATGGGATTTATACTCGACATATATCGCTTTAAATGTATGTTTTGAATTTCACCATCTTTCAGTAATTGCAAACTTAAAGTTCAAGAGCAATATTGGAGTAACCTCTCAGAAGCACCCATATTACAATAATGGCCGAACATTTCGGTTCAGTCAAGGATGGGAAACTGCAAGCCATAACAATATAAATTTTCAGCCAGCTTGCAGAATTTAATCCACTGGACCAACATTCAATGACTTGGCCGAACGGTACAACAAGCATTACATCTTCAATAAAACCTAATCCAGATTGACTTGATATACTAATATTGTCATCATCACTATTCATTTCTAATTTATTCCAGTAGTACAATGAAAACTCAAGCGACTCTACAAACCACGCTAACGACGACTGAAATAACCAATTAGGTTTAATTATACTAGCTGGAAAAGCAAATTTGCACAAAAAAAGTTTGGTTGGCTATTTAAGGTGATTGGCCTTTAAATTCACTGGAAAAATAGGTTAGTAACAGTTCCATCTTACGCGCTGTCAGAAATTATGTACACATTCGGCCATACCTTATCACACATGTACATGCACTTAGGTAGAGCATACGGTGTTACCTGTATTTCTTGTTTCCCATGTGCAACGAAAGGTGATATAAACATTGTATAGCAAAATATGAAAAATCTCGAATGACTAAAGGCCACTCTGTCAACCAGTAAAATAACCAGCTAAGTTTCTGCATTGTATGATAAGATGCCACCTCAGACGAAGCAAAATAGCCTGATTAGTTAGATTATCAGTTGCCAGGGTGGCCCTTATAGTCACTTGGAATGTCAAAATGGGTGACTAGTCAACATATTTTTTTAAAAAAAGAAATGATATTAGAGGCCACCCTAGGAACAATAGAAATGAAGAACCTTTTGTTTCGGTTTTTTGGTGGTGAAGGGGAGCTTTGCATAAAATAGAAAAATGTGATTGGTTATCTCAACAGTTATCAGGATACCCTTTAGAAAGATTCTATAAAAACAGGAATAATCGTAAAGAATAAGCACGCCTTTTTCACCTCAGTTGATTACTTTTTGACCATTTTAATTTTGATTATTTTCACCCTACCCAGATTCCAGCAAATATATCCTATATTTGCTTCTGACTGAGACTTTATTTTAAATCACTTTAAGATATCCATTATTCATTATGAGCATGATGCTGACACACGTTATTCCATTACGATCATCAGTAGACAGCAGAAAAAGGAAGATGTTTTCAATTGCAGGAACCCGTATGATTACCATTGTCGAAGCAAATGCCTGCTTGTAGGAGGAAATGGTAGTTACTTTCAATCTATAGTGGTACTGACTGCGACGTGGTCTAATCATATCTACTCTTTTCTACCTGTTCTTTGCCTTTACTTAATTAGTCCTATTGGATCAACCTTGTTTCTTGGCTTTTAATGTAAGTGTAAAACTTGAGCACTATAGTACAGTATTGTTCCGCAGTATATTTGTTTATTTGATAGTATAACCCACAATGATAGAGTATTATTAACTTGATTTCGGTTTGAGTGCTGTTTGTTGCTCATATTAATATCATAGTAACAGCAAAACTTTTGACATCTGATTTCTCTAGCCTTATCATATTCCTTATCATTAAAGGAAGAAACATCAGAAACTTTACACAGAATTCTAAACCTAGCGGGAATTATGGCAACATTCAAAACAACAAACTCAGTCAGAGATAAACTTTGTCAGTTTAAGGACTCTACTAACCCAATTAAATAAAACAATTTGATCTGTCAAATGCCGTGAAACGTTTGTGAGTTCAGACTAACTGATTAGAGTCATTCAGATAATCGGAGCATAAGACTTCAGTCTGGTGTAGAATGATAGATACCAATACTACCAATAATCTAGAAAAACAACCCGGTTATTGCAATGTATGGGTTAACATGCTGTCGTACAATAGGATAAGTTAAAGCAACCATAATTAAGTCCAATATAGGCAGGTGGAGAGAGAGATTGATTACAGAATCCTTGTTCACCGAAGCCACACACAACACATGTCACAGAGGTCACGTGACACGTATACTGGAGATATGGAAAATTTTACTACCAATAAAAATAAAGAACATGAGGTGATAGGACTACAAAAATCAGATGTTAAAAGTAGTATGATCACATTGCCATGATGCTCAAAGTGTCGTCATCAAGTGAATAATATTGCATCACTTTGTGCTATATATATATATATATATATATATATATATATATATATATATATATATATATATATCAAGTAAGCAGATCTAATATGGAATTTGTTCTGTTTCGTCCAATTAACTTTACCATCATAACCATGACTATTAACTGATGTCTTCAGAATTGCATACTTTTTGAATATTCACTCATACCTTTTTCATTACCACTTGACCAGTGAAAATTGTTTATTTCTACGTTGTTACATCACAATATATCTCACTTTATTTCTTATTTATGCCTGTTTTCTTGTCTTGTCTCCTGGTGTGCATAGTCTGGTAGTAAGTATGCAGATTATACAGCTTACATGTTCTACTGAAATTTATGAATTAATTGAATCCTGTAATTTCCATATTTGTTGCTTGTTATTTTTATTCTTATTGGTTTGAGGAAAGAAATATTCCTGTAGTTCATGTTCAAAACTAATTGGTGAGATCAGTCCTTGTAGAATGATTCATTTCACTGAAATACCAATTTATTGAATCCCAGTTTATGTGTTGAAGAGTAGTGTACGTGTACATCAGCTGGAGAATCACTAAAAACACAGTAGCACTGGGTACCCGTTTTGTCCTACCATGGACTTCCTCAGCAGTAAGCATCCACGACTCCGCAAGGAATATAACCTAGAACCTTCAGATTTCACGGCGAACACGCTATCTATAGAGCCACTGGGTTGAAATCCAAAGGCCCACAGTTTCCTAATTCTGTCATTTCGCTGTATAGTCTAACTATCTGATAAAAAGCCGTGACTAATAGGGTCAACCAGTCGAGAGTGAAACGGATGCCAGCTGAAGACCTTGGATGATAGTCGTACTGTGTAGCGAATTAGTCAGAGTACAAAACTGTGGACCACTGAATTCCAACCCACTGACTGAATGTTTGATGAGTTCGCCGTGAAACCTGAAGGTCATGAGTTTGATCCATGGTTGGATCATAGGTTCTTGCTGTTAAGGAGTCCCATACCAGGAAGGAACAGCTGTCTAGTGGTTCCAAGTTTCCAGTGGCTCTGTAACTGGTATCAGTCCGTGATGAATATCGCCCTTATAAAACCCCTACTAACTTCAAAACACAAAAAGCTGTTATTTTTGTGAATCTGTACCTCAAACGGTCTGTAGTAAGTATTACAATACCCTCAACTTACGTAAAATTCTCAGGACTCAGCTATGGTGTGAAGCTGGTTGGGATAATCAATGCAAAGTACATAGGTGAAACAGCCCACAGTTTACTAGGCCATGCAAAAGCTATACATATACTTACTTCGTCTAGCTATATACATTTGCTTTGATACAGAAGGAAATTCGGGTACAAAAGCTGTACATATATATGTCCCAAAGTCTTCTTCTCTTAAATTTTCTCTTTTGAGTGCAACGCTACGTGACAACACCTCTCTGCCACCTTCTCGTCTCCATTCAATTTGTGGTGTCGGATTACCAATTGCAGGACATTCCATCAATACATCTTCACCCGGAGAAGCAGTAAATAGTAATGCTGAAGCCTGATGAAACTGAGGTCCAACTGAAATTGAAAGAAAAGTAGAAAAAAATTTCATAAGAATTCATATTAATTTCCAGTACATGTTGTCGATTAAAAATTCTGGATCGTAAACGTGGGTAGTCTTATGGAAGTTTCTACACATTTTTGTACTCGGTAGTTTATTTGATGTTTAACAATAAATATCATATTTCAGTGAGTTCATGCATTCATTGTTGGCATCTGTCTAGTTGATGAAGTCGAGGATTTTCGAACTGAAGGGTAATGAGGACTGAAGACTACTTCCTGGAGTCTGAAAATGTAGAAGAGATTAATACTCTGAGAAATAAGATAAAACCGTTCACAAATGATCCATCCTTTATATATTACAAAACATCTGACGTTTCTATTCGAATCGCACACACCGACACAAATAATCTTGTCCTTCATTTCACACTTGTCACTTTGCATTTGAAATGTAGTTTATCCATAGAACATTTTCCAACAAATTCTTCCTTTTTAATTTGTTTTAATCATTTAAATATGTCTTTTGAATGTATCATGTACATATGCACATTTTTAAACTCTGCTTTTCTGGAGTCAGTAATAAAGCAGGGGAAAAATGTTACGTTATATGGAAATGGAGTTTCCGGTCCAAAAAAGTACATCATATTTCCATCCGTCAGGTGCTTAGCTTGAGTTGCAGATTTTTGCACCGTTTGAATGAACCACCACCACCAAAATTACGCTTGCATTTCTGTTGATTCCTTACTATGGACCGGATGCTCATCCAGAACCATCTGGCTACTTCACATTATTGGCTTGAATACTGTTATTATTAACGTCAGGTAGATGCAATAACCGTTTTGTCTGAAAGTATTGTTCTGGGAGTGAATTTGTTAAACAATTACATGCTGAGAATTCCATACTGTCGTGCATATTGTTTAGAATAAAGTGACTGTTATTATTATCTAAAATCCTATCAACCCTGACTCAGTGTACCATATTATAGCCTAAACCACTCAGTAACTACTTTTCATCAATCATATCCTGCTTAATATGCTAGTAGGTGTTCTTATAATCTTAGCTAACTTGACACTAGAATAAAGTATATGTGGACTAAGGATAGTTGGAGGCATCTGGAATGAAAGTTTGCATCTAGACAAGAAGTGAAACGAATTCGTGAAATAATGTCGTCACGGTTTATCTGTAGGCAAGTGACTATTCTCTGGAGAACTTAGATGTATACATTTGGTGAATAATATCAAATACGAAACTGAAATAAACAGTGTGGTTTGAGATTCATGGAAATTTTAATTTTAAGGTAGTATTCATCACAGACTGACAACAGTTGGAGAATTATTGAAAACCTGGGAGGACTGGACAGCTGCTTTGATCATGGGTGTGTATTACGAAGTAACTCTGTGTCAAAATGAAACAGCTATGCAGTATTCTCAAGTTGTCAGTGGTTCTCCAACTGATGTCAGTCCATGGTGAATACAACCTCAATATTATCAGTGTCTTGTAGACTACAGTAAAACTAGTGCGTCCAGTGACTATATTTTGCCATACTTTACTACACAAGGAGCTCGAAATATCCCAGTTGAAAATGCACGTGGTACGTTGGGAATTTCAACGTTTCTATTGCCGAGACTACAAAAAACTATCAATGAATAAAATAGTTCTGCTAAAGGAAGTTGCTTTGGACGCAGCCAAAAAGTTAACCAAATCGCTGGCAATCTATAATTTGTTAATTTCACAATTTATAATAATATTGGTCAGTTATATAGTTGTGTTAGAAATAAGGTGAGCAAAGTGACTGTAATACATTCTTCGCGTAGACGTTAAGCGCTGCGTAAGATTTTGTATGTATATCATAATATGATGCTGTTTGAATGGAATGCTGACCTCCATTTCAGGCAAAAGTAAACAGAAGTGTTGAAATGAGTAGGTTAACTTTCAATCAATAAGAAAGAAGCTATTTACAGTCCAAATAAGCGAACTGTATAAAACAAAAGGGACCTAAAATAATTACTTCATTGTCATCAATATTTTGACTACTTTTCCTGTTTTTCATCATTATTTCAAGCTTCTTCGACGAAATGAAGCAGGAAATATCAAACAGTAGAGAAAATTCCTCTTGATTTATTCATAAAATTTTATTTTTTCCTCTAACTTTCATCGGAATGTCAACTCAGTTGATAATGTGAATGAGGAACATGTGTTTCCAGGTCATTATTCACTAAATAATTTGTTAATGGAATGATTTTGTTACGTAAATAACATTTGTTACTTAATTTCCTTTAAAACTCTTTTACAGGCATAAAATAAATGTGACCATACTAGGTAAATTTGAAGCCGTGATAAATTAAAACAGAGGTAGTTAACATGTCGTAAGGATTTACAGATAGAATTAACACTTAATTTAATACAAGGTATGTAGGACATTTCGGATCTGGATAAAAAAAATCTTTAGTTCCAATCTACTGTTTCTCTAACCAAATACACTTTAATTGTCACAACAGAGATGCTGACCATACTCAAGTAGCAAACTTCTTCAACTACAGTAAAATAACATGTCAGTTTATGGCTTAGTGAGTGTATTATTTCGTTTGTATGCTTGACTATTATCATCAATGTTGAAGAGGACATGAACTTAGTTACAGTCAGATTGCACGTTTACCAGAATACTTTTTATATGGTCTTCTGATACAATTATACAACTATATCGTTTCTCTTAGCGCATACAAACCAAATTATTCAACCATATGGTCTGCTTCCATGTCTTCCTCGCTTTAACTCTTCTTGATATTGTGGACTTCTAAAAGAACATAAAGCTGAATTGAACAGACAGGACGTCAAACTTTTCTCTATACAGATATGGGCTACTAACCGTTTTCACCTCTACAATCTATGAAAGCTGAATGACATCACGTCGTAAATCTCTTTTTACTCTTAAAGGACTGTATTATTCGATGCTAGTTGATTGGATAGTGGTAAGCAACAGACAGCTGTAAGTTACATATCGGTGAACCTAGAACAGAAAATAAGTTTCTGCAACCCAAAGACAACTTTTGTTACTTATAAAGCTTAAGCCTGCATCACTGAAACCAAAAATAAGCTCGTACACTGGTTAATATCAGATGATTAGGATTAGTTACTGGCTAGTTTATATGATAAGGGTGTATAATAGTAAGAAATAAAAGAAGCTCAGTCTCAGAGAAGAATCACAATGTTTGAAAATAGTCTTAGCGATAAAATAACTTAGTTGAATACCATAAATCTCCTATTTAATATCTAAAGCAAATTGTAGAAATGTAATCAATACTTCCACAGAATATTCATTATTGTTTTATTTTGTACATGAGACAAATAAACCCTAATCAAAACTGTTATCATTTCACCATCCATTCCTCCTGCGTATCTATCAATTAAGTGTTAATCAGAAATAAGGTAGATAGTTTTTGGAATTACTGACCAATTGCTGTTTTCCGAATTGGATTTGTCAAAAAAGATTGTGACGATTCTTGTTCACTCAGTAATAAGACAAAACGTGATGAATGATGATAAATTTGCGACCAGTTTAAACATAGTGTTTAACAGCTCAGCTTGTTCACGGTTCAATTTTGAGGTTTGTGGGGATTTATTTATTCGCTGCAGGGTGGTACTCATCACGAAGTGAAATCAGTCGGAGAGACATTGGAAACCAAGGAACACTATACAACTGCTTCTTCCTAGTATGGGATTCCTTAACAGTGCACACCTACGACTGCACCAGGGATCAAATGCGAAACCTTCGTGAACTGACAGAAATAGGAAATGTGGACCACTGGATTCCAATCCAATGGCTCAGTGGTGACGTACTGGTTGTGAAACCTGTAGGTCTCCGGTTCGATACCTGTGGCAGTCATGAGTGTATACTGCTGAAAAATCCCATTCTAGGAGGAAACAGTAGTGCAGTGCTCCCAGGATTCCAAAGTTTCTCCAATCGATGTCATTTGATGATGAATCCCATCTTGTTCAGAGTTCTCAGGAAGGTAATAAAAGAATATTAGTGTTTAAATTTAAGCATAACACATCTAGTTATTGACAGTTAAATATTTAACTGAACACAACGGGACACTTTTAAAATGAAACTGTTAATGTGCTTAGCTGGATTCTGTCCAGATATACATATGCTTTTTATTGCTTTTTTGATATTGGAAGGGTTTAACTATCATTTTAAATATTGTTGTTATTTTTACAGTTTTAAAAACCTGAAAACCAGACTATACAAAACACTGAATTATGTTGGCAGGCCAATAAAAATAATATCGAATAACATGTTGGCTTACTGGGCTTTAGTATTTTTTTAAAAAACAAGAAACAATAAAATGAACTTTGGAATAAAACATTTTGAAGAATAACAGGAGTGAAATAAACAACAACTATGCATTTGAGATATTCAGAGTGTGACCAGACGTATTATAGTGCTTCTAAACTTTAAGGATATGAAATATTTGCAGAAATTGAAAAACTTGGAACGGAAGATGTAATACGACGACAGTAAACATGAAATGGAAATAGCTATGCATTTTCGTATCCAATAATGTCTACCGAATGCCAAGGGCATATATGACACCATTGTAGAGAAGATATTTTGAAAGGGATGTAAATCAAACGAGAATTCATCCACAATGTTACAATGAGACGTATATTTCTCGGTGCTACAACTTACATGAATACATGAAAGATATATAGAGGTTAGGAAGAAGTAATGTCCCTAAGATCATCGAAGGCTCTCATGCAGTGAGAACCAATCTCCTCCACGATCATCACATCAAGGTCCAACTCAAAACGAAGGTAAGTCATAATCATGCAATGTTACGCTATGCACCTACAAGTAATGCAGATCAAGAGAAGGAGGAATTCTGCAGACAACTACGATCAACACTGGACAAAACCTAAGTTGGCGATATCAAAATTCTAATGGGCGATATGAATGCCAAACAAGAAGAGAACTAACCATGGATCGAGAAGCGCTAGGTGAAATGAAGGAGAATAGA